CTCGGGTGGATCCCATCAGGCCCCATAGACCATACCCTAACATACCTTTTTGTTAAACTTCCTCAATAAAAGATTGCATCCAATGTATTCCACAAAAGAAAACCTCTATCCACACATGTGGAATAACTGAAGCATTTTCTAATAAATGTCTAGGAAGTTCAAGAAGCTGCAACGCCTGTTCTTCAGCTGATGGTGTCCAGTAGTGTTCTCAACCACTGTGTATGCTGTTGTGTGAATGCTTTTACCTGCCTTAACCCCAGACCCAGCAAATATGCAGAGCGCTCTGGAGATTAATCATTAGTGGTGGCTTTTACGTGAAGAAAAGGGCTGTGTTTTCCTCATGAGTCTACCAGCTTCTTGATCTGTGCCTTTTATACACCATTTTTCCTTTGCAGACCGTGTTGGGGTTTTTGTTTTCTGCAGGTGGCTGGGATACCTGGGCCTGCTCCTGTTCCATGTCCTGATATGTTTGCTGGTGCTCTTTGGGCTCATTAGAAACTCCAGGGCCATTCTTATGGGGTAAGTCCTGACCCAGGTGCAGTGCCTCAAAGAAGATCAGCTGAATGCAAGTGCCTGCTAGTTTAAACCTCTAGACTCTTGTCAGTTGATTTCAAGGACTTCTGAGACTGAATAGCTTAAATTTGCCTCTCAATATAGAGAGACTTTGTAGAGTGTAACTGTGGATAGGATTAGGGCTACATGGGAAATGTTCACAGGTAGGTTCTTGAGCTATAAAATGCGATGTTTCTGGTGTCTGTTGCTTTTGTATCAAAGGCAAGGAACTCATCTGAGCAGTCTGCCTTCTGCTGGGTAGCACTGGTAGCCTCTGTTTGCTGGGAGATAGTAATGTGAACATCCTCCCTTAAATTTATAGGCTTTAAAAAACTCCCTTTAATTCTCTACAGTTGTTAATGGATGATAAGCATTGCGTGTGTCTACGCAACCTGGTAGCATGCCTTTTGTGTCACATTCTGCTCTTGTTTACCTTTGGCTGTCACACCTGAAGAATGTTAAACTGAGAACAAGCAATGGTTTGTACAGCTATGAGGAGGAGTCTTGTTGCCATGGTACAGCAATATTAATATGTGCCTATTTCTAAGAAGCACACTGCAAATGCTGCCGCACCCAGGCCCAATTACAAGAAAAAAAATATTCCTCTCCCTATCTAGTAGCTTGCTTTAGCTTGGCATATTTGGCAAAGATACCAGTATGATAAACACAGCGATGGTTTGACAACTGACATGGCCAAGAGTTTATCCTGGTACATGGTGATGCCGTTAATAATTGGAATGCATATTCAGATTTATTATTTGCCAGATGACTTCATACCTGGCAGGTCATACAGACAAAAGTCCAAGTGTATGCACAGATGGTAAACCCAGGGTTTAAATTAGAATCTCATTCTCTATTAGCCAGAAGTTCATATTGAGGCATTCCCCAAAGGGAGCACATGGCACAAAGAAGCAAGTGTATCACAGCCAAGGAAGATGGTGAAATGCCAGTTTTAGATCTTTTAGCCAAGCAATCAGTTACTGACCCAGTCATATTCATTTAAAGTAAAACAACAAATGTGTCTTATTGAATTGATTACCATGCTCAGCTGGAGGCACCAGCCCGTGTTGTCCTTATGTTATAAAACTACAGAACCTTGCTGATCCATGGCTGATAATTTTTGCATCCATTTGGAAAAAGCATAATAAAGTCTTTAGCCATCTTATTGCAGAGTGCTGCACAGAGGTCAGTCTGGCTAAGCTCCATTACTTCTGCAGGATGACCCACAAATCCATTCAAAGAATAGGGATTACTCATAATTGAAATAAGTTTTTAAACTGAGGGATAGATCTTTTTTTTTATACATGTAGGCTCATAGATTTATTTTTTAAAGTTCTGGTCTTCAATGAGACAAATGTAGCAGAAGAGATATGTCCCTTCCTCACAGAGATGCTTGCACTATGTTTGAATAAAGAATATCGTGGTTATGAACAGGCTTTTGTTTTATTTTCTTCAGAGGGTGGGCGGGAAGAACCTACCTGTGTCTCAAAGCCTGAAGGAAAAAGCATCCCTGAGAGAGCAAGCCAGTGTCCCTTTACTTTGAAGATGGGGATACACAAAATAAAACTGCTTATTAGTCTGCATCCCCATACCTGAGGGAGCTGAGGAGCACTTTTGCCCAAGTATCTCTAATACTCATACTGACAGCAAAGGTGAAGAGCTAATGTGCTAATGTGTTGGGGAAGTGCAAAAGCCTTTTCCAGCAGTGTGTGCCAGCTGAATGTCACAGAGACCACTGCTCTGTCATCCCTCTGCCTTGGGTCTGCTTGATAGCAGACATTTCCCACTGTTTCTGTCGGTGATGAGGTCCAGCGGTCAGGACAAAACTTCTAAATCTCTGCAGAGATGCGCTCGCCTGGCTGTGGCAGGCACCAAAGCTGTTGCTCTGAACTGTTTGCCTGCAGGTGACCGTCTCTTCTGGGGCTATGTGGGATCCTTAGGTGCTGTCCAGATGCATGCAGCTTGGAACCAAAGTGAGGTGTCCTAAAACAGGCTGGGTGTCCCACTGTTTGTAGCTGTGCAGTACTTAACACTTAAACTCATTTATTCTTGAAACAGGATGAACTTGTCTAATTTTGTGTTTTGGTTTTTTCTTGAGATATTTTCCTTTCAATATCTTTGGACTTAGAAAGTAAAGTCCAGCATGTGGATAGTGGAAGCGATAGGATTGTAGTAATCCATCTGCTTTCCCTTCAGCTCCCCCCGTGTCTTTGTTTGGCTTCCCTGCTAGAAGCAGGGTAAGATTTTGCTTCCGCCCTTTTCTTCCTTCTCCTGCAGCCCCAGGGCCCGGTAATGTGGGAACCAACAACTGGATAGAAACTTCTCTGGTTGCTGCTGTCCACAACATGTAAAACTGGATGGCTTGTCTGAAGATACAATGGTTGATGATTATTTCTTGGGTTTGGTAATTGCTCTGGACTCCAAATAATGCATCTGGTGAAAGGATCTGCTTGAAATCAGAGCTTCTACATCTGCCATCTGTCTGTCTCCCACAGGGTGTGTTTGCTTGGGGTGTTTGCCCTGATTGTCAGCTGGGGATCCCTGGGTCTGGAGTTGGCTGTCGCTGTGGTAAGTGGCTCTGATCCAAGTCCCATTCACCCTTCGCTGCAGGTTTATCTGACAGGAGATTAATGTTACACTGTGCTTGTCTTATAGTGCATCTTGTTCTAAGTAGCTGTCCTAGCAGTTAACATCTGTGAAAAGTAGAGAGCTTCTCCTTCCTCCGTGGTGTGGTGTGCTAGCTAGTGGTCCGGCGCAGCTGCGGTTGTGTAAAGCAGTGCTAGTGGGGGTGACGATGAGAGGCTTCAGCATCTGAAATGCCCCAACAGTAGAGGCTTCCCTGATGTTAACCTGGCTCAACTGCGCTTTGATACCGGTGTTCTTTGATAGTCCTTTTCCCTTTTGTCTTGCATCTGTCTAGGGCTCCAGTGACTTCTGTATTAACCCTGATGCTTACGTCTCCAGAGTGGTTGAAGAGAATGCAGTGCTTAGTGCTGGTAAGTGCTGGGACTGGCTCTGGCACAGGGTCCTGCGGCTCCAGCTGTCACACAGGAGCATGGCAGTGGCTGAGAGTTGAGAGTGGTGTTTGGAGCAGAGGAGCTTGCGTACAGTGGGAAAAGCAGGTGCCTGCGGAGCTCTGGAAAACCAATGTTCTTCCCAAAGAAGCATTTATACTCTGGCCAGAAGTACACACGTTCACTTTTCTTTGTCAGAAGAGCCCTTGGAACCTTTCTTCTGTCTTGGCCCTTAGGTGGAAGTAACTGATAGACAGAATAGAAGCCCTGGATTATCTTGCTTTAAATGTAGCGTTCTTGAATCTTGTTCTCCCCTCTAAGCAACAGAACTGCAACAATAGCAGCATGCAGTTTGAGTTGTCATTTTTAAGACTTGCTCTTGGGTCTGAATTCCTGTATCTAGAATACTTATTTTTATACCTGTTATCAACAAATAGATATTATTATTTTCTCTTAATGGTGGCTATAAATAGGAATCTCTTTAAAGCTAATTTAAAGGATAAATGAATGGAAACAGCCACAAAGAGAAGTATGAATTTCCCTTTCCATTATAAATGCAGTATTTTGACTGCTTTGTTTATCCTGTTCCATTTAAAGCAATATGCCCGCATCAAGTGGCATCCGGCTGAAGCACGGATGGATTTTTGGGTTTGTTGCTCCTAATTTAGACTGAAGTGTTGGTGAGATGAGGGGTGCCTTCGGTTTAGACCTTGGTGGAGCAAAAGTGGCTTTCAGAACTGTGGCTTAAAGTGGTTGGCGCTTGCCAGCAGAGATACCGTAAGTGCTAAAAAGGAAAAGTATTTTTCAGGACTGAGTTTGCTGCTTAGATAACAAAGTTAACTTTTCTCCTACCTTCTCTCCCCCTGATAGTTCCTCTGTATAGTTCTGTGTATGATAAAACACAAATAAGCAATGATGTGGATTTGCAAAAGGAGCCATTTGTGATTTTCCTGGTTCTTATTTAGTGGAATCAGAGAATCTTTGCCTTGTGTACGGAAGGTCTAATGTATGGCCACACACTTAGCCAAATGCTGCCTTTTACTGCGCATACATACAGGTATGTAGCTATGGCTGAGGCTGCAGGGATTGGAAGTAATAAGAAAAGTTTGTCTGGAGGCAGAATATAGTATGAAAGAGTATGTGCAGGTTGATATTACCACCCTACAGTTTATTTTTGTAATGCCTTAGTGATTTCCTGGGAAGGAGAGGATAGAGCCACACAGCTTTCTTCGTAACAAAGAAATGCAGTAAGGGAAGAGAATGAGTGTTTAACACCACACAAGATGAAAATCCTCTCTTGGCTGTGAAGGTGACGAAGATGTGGCTTCAGGTACCAGGCTAGTCTCCTAGTTGTTCAAGGAGGTGAACAGGTCAGTGAGGCCAATGGGAATATCTGATGCTAATGCCAGCTGTGTGCTGTAATAATTTGATAACCCAAATCGGCTCTGGAACATGTTTGGTAACAACTAGATTGACCCTGGGAAACTGAAGAAATGCCCCTTTGTGCTGCTACTCCATTTCAGTTGTCCTTGTCTGCTTGGCTCCTGCAGTTTTTTGTTAATCAGTATCATTCATTTAGAGGCTAACGGTGAGTGCAGGACTGACATTCCTGTGCCTCCTCCCCTTTCCCTGGGCAGGGGCAGGCAGCTCCCCCGGGTGAAATCAGGCTCTGTTCTGGCAGCACCGCCAGCTATAACAGTTGTTAAGGGTCCATAAATAACAGTGAATGGGTCTAAGTGAAATGCTGAAGAGGAGGAAGAGCAGGTGTTGTCACAGGCTTGAGTTGGAAGGGTGGCCCCTTCCGTGGGCTGCTGCTGTGTCAGCTCCCTGCTGTTAGGCAGCCGTTGAGCGTTCGTGAGTGTCTTTTTCCTTTTTTTCATAAGGAAATCAGTCTAACTTCTGAGCCTGCCATCACACTAGGCAGCTGGTTGGGAGATGATTGAATGTTCTGCCTTCCCATGTGGATTTTCACTGCTGTGTCATAGTTTATGGTCAGGAAGCTACAGAAATAGCTCTTGGTCCCTGATGTCGGGTCTGTCCTGGGCACCTGAGCAGGAAGGAAAATCACAGCATGAGGACTGCAGTGTGGTACTGCTCAATGGCACTTTAATCCCAATACTGGCTCTTTAGAAAAATGTTTTAAAAGTCTGAAACAAGTGTTGGTATCCCTTAATATGCTTGGCTATAAATTGTAGCAGCTGCTTTGTGATCAGCTGAGCCATATACATGGTGGGAGTGATGGGCTTGAAGAGACAAGGGAGGCAGCTGGGAGCCAGCACCAATGCTGTCCTCTTGGAGGAAGCTGCCCTGTTTGAAGGCTCCCAGTTCTAGTGCATGGACTCTTCACACTCTCCGGTTTGCTGCCTCTGCTCTGTGGGTGAATCTCTCCGACATTAACAGCAGTATAGACAGATGAGGCTGAAACACTTTAAGATTGCTCCAGCTAGTTTCACCGGAGTGTATCTGACCACGTGTTTTTCCAGTTCAGAAGGGAGATGACTAAGGGTGTGAGTGGATAGAAGGGCTCAGGTGGTCTATGGAAGAAGAATCCATTGGGCGTTACCGTATATGTAGGAATCACATTTACCTTGGGAGTCACTTGAACTGAAGTTGGGCTGAAAAGGCACCCGTGTTCTCAGTCTTGCCTAGGTGCCTGCTTTTGGCCGGTGCTGGGGTATGGTATACGGGGCTAAGTGCTGCCATCTATTTTTAAGGATATAAGCACCAACAAGTAATCTTAAGAAGCTTTGTAGTGCTGGGTCAATTTTCCCCTTAATCAATATTTTTAGTTCCTGTTTTCAAATATAATATGTTGTACTAATCCTAGCCCTATACTCTGGCATTCAAACTAGGACTGAGTCATCTACGTTTGTGTATTTGCAGTACTTTTTTGTTGGTGATGGTTATAGGAGTTTTCACAGAAAAATAACTGTGTTGGATACTGGGCAACTAGTATGTTAATATTCCTGTTTGCGTATTAATTGCTGTTTGCAAATCTAAAAAGAATTAATGGAGATGAGAATAATCTGATTAAGTGCATTATTATTGTTGTCATGTTTTTAGCTGGAGAGGAGATGTCCTTGTTTTGTAGATAAAAAGCACTGCATTAAAGGGGGGGGGAAGTGGGGGCAAAGAGCTTTTAATGCAGGTTTCTTGGAGGAGGGGGGACTTAAATAATTTTGCAAAAGAGGCTGATATATGTGCCTAACTCACCCAGTATTCATTAATTGAGATAAAGCCAATGGAGTTGAACAGTGGCTGTGTAATCGGTTCCTGCTGCTAGTAAAAAGACTTGGTGCAGCCAAGATGTTTATTTTCAAAGCAGGAGGCCATCTTCTAGTCTCATTCTTTTTCATTTATATTATGTTATTATCAGATGACTTATTGCATAAAATTAAATAAAAAGGCACAATCTGTCTAAACAGAAAGCTTTCTCCAGATTCTCTTACTAGAAGTCTGCATGGTGAACAGCCACTCACTTCATCCAAAGGGACTGTGAACCTCAGGGGATGGATAACGGAGCCTTTTACCTTCGGTCCAGCCAAGCTGGTCAGGCTGGATGCCGAGACTTAACTGCTCAGAAATAAGCAGCAAGCGTTCCTGTTGCGCACAGCCTCCTAATCGGCCTCTCACTGGTTCACTCTCTTCTTAGAAGCCCAGAGCCGAATTAACCGGGGGACTGACACCACTGCCACCTCCCTTTCCTCTCCTCTGTAGAAGTCAGGTCAGGACAAAACCTCATGTGGGGCATGTGGTGGTTGCACAGTTACTACGTGGGCTCAGTGGGCACTGCAGAGAAAAGAGTTTGCCCAAAGAAGCGCGCTCAAGAATCCTGCTGAGCTGATCTCGGTGGTGAGAAGCTGTGTTTTGCTGCATGGTTTTGCTGGACTCCTGATTAGCAGCAAACTTTGAGTGGAGGGCATGTGGGATGGCTACAAGCTCTTTGCTGAAGGCTCGTGATGGCTGATTTCACCAGTATAAGAGTGGCATATATGAGAGAAATATAAATGTTATGCAGATACTTCCCTTTGCTGTCAGTCTGTTGCCTTAGGAAACATAACTCCTGGTGGAGAACAAGTTACCTGGGCCAGAAAATCTGGCCAGGAGAGTCATCTTCCTTTGACATCACAGGCAATATACTTGAAATTTCTGATGATGGATCCCACAGAGACGGTCTCATCCGGGTGTCTATGTAAAATTCAAGCTGCTTACAGAATGTTCAAGTAGAGATGAAGAAGGGCTGGGAAAAGCTGTTCTAGGTGTGGGGATTTTTATTTTTTTAACTAGGATCTCTCTTTCTGATTGTTCTTTACCCTACAGAACTTCTCACTGCCTTTTGGTGGGTACATAATGCCATTTTTGCATTTCTGCTGGGCTGTGAAGTGAATAATAAGTCTCCATGGTTGCAGAAGCAGTAAGTAGTTCTAGCAGCTGAAGCGGTCTTTAGCAGGCAGTTCTACTTTCCTTTCTAAGAAAAACAGACTTTGCAAAAATAAAGCATTTTAGGTAGTTCCCTTCTTTGCCTTCTGCTCCTACGCTGCCTGTGCACCAAGAGAGTGGGTCAGGAGGATTGCTGCTAGCAACAGCAGGCATAGGCAGCTGCAAATGTGACCCTGCCTAACCCTTCTCCTATGAACTAGATCACCTAAAGGCTGGCTTCAAAAATCAGATCCAATCTTCAGGAATTTTCCTTGAGAGGAAAATGCATGGGAAAGGTAATTATAGAAAGACATTTCCTGGAGGTGTTAGCAGAGTGCAAATGATGGCTTAGTATAGCTGTTTTCTGGGCAGAAATTTGACATTTGGCGTTGTACAGGATAGCCTCCACCAGGTTTAAAACTGGTGAAGGTGCTTCCTGCTCTTTTCTCTTTCCCAGCTTGGTGGTACGGAGGCAGGGATCATGCTTCTCTTAATTTCCAGGCTTTGCAGCACAGGACGACCTTAAAGCAGCTTCGCTGCCTGTTGTAGCCTTAGCTTTAAAGCACCGCAGCTATTAGCACGCTGGGTTCAGTGCAGGGGAAAGCTGCTCCTGCTGGCTTTCCCGTTTCGGAAGGCACGTTTTATGTACAGTGTCACACTTGTCAGCTGCAAAAGCCAGCGCTACCACAGTGAAGCCTTGTTGATCCTGCCTTCCAGGGAGAAGCAAGGGAAGCACTTACTTCACTGTACTGTACTGCTGCTCACTTCGCCTGTAACCAGCAATCTTTATCCTGGGCTTACAAGCTGCAAACTATCATGATATCAGGAGCTCTCATCTGTAATCTGCCCACCAGGGATGATCCAGAAGGCCCTGAAGAAACATTTCTAGAGCTATGTGTTAGCGGTATGTCATGCAACTTAACGCACCTACAAAGGCAATGCAAACTTGATACCACTGTGGGAGCCTAAGGGAAACTTTTAGTGGTTTGTTGGTTTAAAATAAATAGATGACAAGATCATAGCTTCTTTAGGTCACTCCGTGATGCTGTGGATTGCTGTTGCTATGCTGTTGTTTCAGCGCGGGTGCATTTTCATCCATTTTTCCATAGTCACTGAATGTGACTTATGAGCCTGGGAGGAGCAGTCCTTTCCTTGGCTCAGGAGTTGTGGACAGTTGTTTCTGCGGTCTACCCAAGGTGAGGCACTCAAAGCAGCTCTTGCTGCCCTCCTATGTGCCCAGATTTTGCTAATTGCTGTTTAGAGGTTTGGCTGGGGAGATGCAAGTCATCCTGGAGAAGGAGTTGGCAGAGGGGGGGAGATAGAGCAGCTGGCAAAAGCTGCCCCAAAGTCGGCTAATGAATTATAAATAACAACTGTCAGGTTGCATTGCCGGTGTGCAGGAGCCGATGGTCTGTGTTGTACCTCTTGGTCTCCAGGGTGTTTGCTTGCCGAAAGGTGCATTCAATATTAATGGGAAGCACGGCGGAGTCAGGTGTAGTCAGGTCTGCTTCCTTCACAGCTCTGCTCGCTTGTGGTTGTGCGTCTTACTGATTTCTGAGCTGGGAGTGATTAGAATACCTTTGCAGTCTAGAATATTTATTACTGGAAGTCACAGAGAAGATTAAAAGGAATGGAGAAAAGGATGCTAGTAGGGAGGGGGATGCAGAGTGTATGTGTGTTTTGGGGCTTTTGTCTTTACCGAGCCAACTTCACCCTTGATTTTGCTGAGCTAATGCACTCCAATTCAACTGAAGAGGAACTGTAAATGTTTGAGAAATAATCTAAAGGTATTTGGATTGTCAACTCTGTCAGAGCTCCCTACCATGATAACATTATTTAGTATGGGACGGGAAAGCCTCGTATTTGTAACTTGTACATGCTGGCAGTTGGTGTAGCTTTATGGAGCGCTTATGGGGGCATCAGGCTGGTTTCATACACATCTGCGTAAGGAGAAATAAAACTGTCTCTTCAAGCCTGGAAATGGGTGGTGCTATTAGCAGAGCACTAACAGTCTTATCTGGAAGTTTGAGTACATCTTTGCTGTACTGCAATTGCTGATAGAGCTACTTAGTCTTAATACTAACTTTTTGGGATGTTACCAGCAAACAATCTGAGATCCCTTGAACAGGTAATGTGTTGCTGGTATCCTGATACATGGTAAGAGCTTTCTTTTCTGATCAAGTCTGCAGTATTGACTCAATACCAAAAATAACTTTTTTGCATAAGTCAAAAGAAGGATGCAAAACAAATGACATATACTCTTCCAGTTAAAGTCTAATTAAAGCATCTAATTAAAATCTAATTGCGTGCAAGTGACATCCATCAGAAAACAGACTACTATTTACTTGTTTATCCCTAGTACTTGTCAGAAAGACAAGAACTTGTTGTTTTCCATCCATTTCCTCACTTGCTTTCGAAGTGATACCATTTTTAGGAAATAGTATTGGAAGTTATAATTTTCTTGAATGAAGAGGGCTTTCTTGTGTCCTCCTACAGAACACTGCCTAAAGCCAGTCTCTCCTTGAATGTGATAGAAGAATTGCCAATTGTGAAGAGGTCTTTTTTTTTTTAACTTTTTACTCTTAAACACTTCAACTTGTGCACTTAGGAAGCAATACGTACATCTTTGTGGAGTAGCATAGGGATGTAGTAGCATAGGGATCTGCTCTGTCTTTGGCCCAGCGGTGTGCTTCCACAGGTATTTTTGATAGCAGCCTGGATTTATATCACCACTACTGCTTCTCCTGTGCGAACGTTTTGTGGCTGATGAACAGAATTGGATGAAAGTTGAGTTGTCTCTTTGCTATGTGCCCTAGGCAGCAGTCTGTACCTCTGATTGCTTCCAGTGACCGTAGAATGGTATTCTGGCACTTGGAAGCTGCAGAAATTAAACGTTCAGTTGGATGAGTTCTAGGCTAAGGTCCTGTCTTATGGTTATGCTGTGGTTAGTGTTGACTTCTGAATAAAACTTTTTTGATGTTTCACCTAATGATATAAGTGGGGCAGCCCCTTGCCTTTCACTGTTCAAAAAAACCCCCAACAAGAACAGCAACAAAATCCCCCACCACCAAAACAACCAAATCTTTCTTTTCTCCCCAAAGGCAGGTTACATCCCTTTCTCCAGTGACGTTCATGCACTGTAATCTTACTTGGAGATGGGGAAGTATTTCCATTTATATTGAATTTTCATTTTGTGTATTGCATTCAGAACTTAACACCTCCCTTGTGGCAGAAATAAAATACTGCAAAGCAATGTATCTAGCATGACTTTCTTTTTTCTTTTGTCTTTGTAGATACTCTCCGCTATTACATTACCTGTAGTGCCGGATACCCCAACCCTTTCCAGCAGGTGAGTGTAAGCATCCTAGCTCCCTTCACCCCTTCTCAGCACTCTGCAGGGTATAGGCTAAAGGCTCGTCATGCCAGCATGCAGCAGGTTGCAAGGTGTTAGCTTTAGAGCATTCCACCTGTTGGTAAAGCTTTGGTAACTACTTTGCAGCTGTGAAAGAGGTGGCACTGGGATTTTGTGAGCAGCTTTTTCCACCTCCGTCACTACCTGTGTAGCTTCAGGTCCAGCATGCCCGATTAGAGGGGCCCATGTGTGATGTGGCGAGGACTGTGTCTTTGTTTGTGGTATCTCTGTTTACATGGCACTGTTCTAAGGGCAGCAACATGGAGACAGAGCACCCACAATTAATGCCAGGGTGGGAAACTACACACTTCCTGCTTTGAATCTCTTCTCGCAGGTTCTTTTCGGTTAGACAGTGGCAACACTCCACTCCCAAAATGCAGCCACTTCTGTGGGTGAGGGAGTGATTCTCACATACGCCTCTTAAATCCCTTGGATGTTGAAGGGTTTGTATCCTGAAGTATAAATGTGAGTCATTATTCTTTTGTGTGGGGGCTGAGGAACAGCACCTGGGCCTATCCCAAACTTTGTCTTATGTATCAGAGGCCAGAATGAACCCACACCACCCACCATTTGGCAGACACCAGCTGCTTCACCATTTATATTTAGGTTTTTTTAAGTCTTGTCTTCCTCTGTTTTAAAGGGTGGGGTAAGAACACTTCAAGCTGTGGTATGATGCACCGTTGCCATCTGTTGCATTTCTGGTTGCTCAGCGCACTCTCTGACATGCTATTGCATGTGAAATTCCCGTGGATGCTTTAATGGGACATGAAGGCAGCACCCCAATACAAACAACTTTTACTATTACCATTTAAGTCTCTCTCAGCCCTCTGAGGAGAAAAATCCAGCGGTGTTCTGTGGTGAGAATGAGTGCTTTGTGTCTTTTCTTTCTCCTTCCCCTCTGTCCTGCAGCTGGCCCCAGCTGTGTGTACGGCTTGTGTGTGTACGTGTGTTGTTTTTTTTTTCTTTTGGTTCTTCCCTTCCTCTCTTATTTCTGTCTGTACTTCTTCCAGGTTGGTAAAGGTTAAACTTAACGCCATCACAGCTGCACCCATGTCAGTTGAGACATCCTTAACTAGTTCCCTAACTTGGGAACAGGATTTAAGTCTTATTTCCCAGGAGCTCTGTTGGTTCATGTGGCCTGAATTGCTGAAACATTGCATGTTTTGTGTTGAGCAGAAGCTGTCAGGAAGTCACAAGGCTCTGGTGGAAATGCAGGATGATGTTATGGAACTCATGAGGTCAGCAAGCAGAGAGTACCCCACCTCCAAGGTAACTCTCCTCAAGTTTGCTCTCCCTGTGCTTTTTGGCTTCTCTTACCCTTGTACAAAGCCCAAGATCAGCTCCTGCTAAGCCATTTCCTTGCCATAATTGCTAGCTTGTTGCTTACAGGAGTATCTTACTCGGATCCAGGAGGTTTTAAATTCAACAGAGATCAACTTGCAGCAGCTGACTGCTTTAGTAGACTGTCGGAGTCTGCATTTGGTGAGTCCTCAGTAACTGGGCTTGAGTTAAGAAAGAACAAAGCGTGTGTAGAGCCTGTAGCATACTGATTATTTTGGAATTTCACATTTCTGGTGTGCCAAAACAGTTTACAACGGCTTTTACTGATTGACTGCAGCAGAAAGGAGAATGAGAATTTGGATCAAGTTAGCTTTCTGGTTTAAGGTGAACATAGAGAAACTAGATAACATGCCTTTATGCATATACAAGCTGCAGCCCTAAGGTTTCAGGGGCCTCCAGGTGTTTTTCTGTGGCATGTAGCTTGTTGCCTTTCCCGTGGAGTGGAATGCCTTATAGCTGCAGTATAACATGGCCTAACTCTTGCCCTAGCTGTGTCTCTGAAGGCAGAGAAACAGATAGTCCATGCCTGTGTTCTTGGGCAATGGGACATAGTGAGGGAGCTGAGAGGCTTAATAAAAAAATGTGATCTCTTAATCTGGGTGGATAAGTTTGCCTTGACTTTTTTTTTCTTTGAAACTCTTATTGTGTGGGCTTGAAAATATCCCCACATCTATATGTGAGTTGGGCTTTATGAGGGGAAATAAGGGTTAAGATCAGTTATGAAAAGCACTTGAGGTCCCCAAAATTAATTGCCCTGGCAAAGGGAGTACAATCTCATGAGTTGTTTCAGAGAAAGTAGTCCAGGGGAAGGGCTTTTGAATTAGAGTTCAATGTTAACTCTCTAGTGATCGGGAAACTTTGCTCATTTCTCTCTCCAGGATTACGTCCAGGCGTTGACGGGCTTTTGCTATGATGGAGTGGAAGGCCTCATCTACCTGGTTCTCTTCTCCTTTGTCACAGCCCTCATGTTCAGTTCCATTGTGTGCAGCGTCCCACACACTTGGCAGCAAAAGAGGTATAGAGAGGGCTTAGATCCTGTAGCACTGTAGAGTTCTTTCCTAATGAAGACTGGCTATTGGATATGTGCCCATGAGCATATGGAGCTCTTTCCCATATAATCCCAGAAGTGTGAGGGATGAGGCTTTATAAGCACAGGTCCAACAGGAAAAAAAGCTGTTGGCTTTTGCTCTGGCTGTGGTTAATATTTACATCTGAGCCTTATTGCACTCGGATATTATGTGTGCAGAGTATTCAGTACACTGTAGGACTATAAGATGAATGATTATAGCTGTAGAGAGAGGCTTGAACTATGTGCCATTTCTGTAAAGTACCTATTGTCTTGCATTGCTTTGAGGCATTTGTTCTAGTACGGGGAAAAGAATTGGAAGGAGAAGCAGTTCACGCTTGCCTTTCTTGGCTTTGCTCATGCTGGGGCAAATGACTTGCATAGTCAGTAGGAACCAGGAACTCTCTTGGTGGCAATAGCATGGGCAGATGAGATACATGCAAACTGGTGGCAATCATCTAGCAGCAGAGTTGTTTGGAACTAGTGTTAGTGATGGTAACCAGGCTGACCAGTAAATCATGAGCAAACCTTCGCTTCACTGGCTGGCTGTTGCACCACATGCAGCTATTAAAATAGCTTTGAGTTTTCTGTTCTTGCAGAAGAGCAGAAGACTGTGCAGCAAATTCTCTTCTGTGGTCCTGAAACGTGATTTTTCAGCCCAGGCTGAAGGTTCAAAGTAAAAAGGAACATCCTGAACAATAGCAGGAAGGCAGAACCTACCAGCCCTGCAGTGCCCACAGAGAAAGCCTTGGGAAATGTGTCAGAATAGCACTTAAGAAAATGGCTGGTTTCCTACCTCTTCCACATACAGCTGCAGAGGCTTTATCAAGAAGAGAATGGTAGTCTGCCCGTTTGAAGGAGGAAGGTTTGCACAGTGCTGCCTCTTGTGCTGTCTTCCATGTGAGCTGCTGCCTGCCCTGCCAGCCCCAGCAGGCTCAAGCTGCTGCTGCGAACGGAAGGATTCCCTCCTGCGTTCCCCCGAGCACCATTTCTTCCTCTGCCTCCCTCTGGGAGCTGGAGGATGTCATACTTACGGCCTGTAAGAGACTGTGCAGGCTGTAATTCCCTGAATAAATCTTCAGTGCCACCTTGTGGTACAGAAGCGGCAGGTGATGTTTGGGATGCTCTAGTGATGTCCATGCTGTCTCTCTCCCCCAGCAACAGGGCTTCCTGTAGAACCTTTTAGTAGCTTTGTCAAGCGTCGCTAAGATGTATTTCAACTCTTGGTGCTTCATCCCATAACTAAGGAGATAAAATAGTGCATATTATATAGGAGGGGACGAGAGAATACTACAGGAAGGAGGGAAGGAACCAGCTGGCAAACAGCTCAGCTCTGCAGTAAAATTGATTTTAAAATCCTGGCATTTTTGAGAGAATGAAGCCTTTAAACACAAATGTTGCAACTTAGTCTCTGTAAAGACTTCTGAGATTTTGCTAGAAGCTGAAGCAGATCCTTTGTAACCAGAGTGGGAGTTCAGAGAAGTCTACAGAGACTTATCCTTAAAAGCTCTTTGGACTTGGCTACAAGAAATGGAAGGATACAGATTGCAGTTTTGAAGGATGCTTTCTGTGGGGTACATGGCACTACATCCCCACTGCCTCTCTGTGTTTTTTGTTTTTTTTAAATGCTGTGTATTTCAGGATGCGTGTCTACCCTTTGGTTGTATGACTGGGCAGTTGCAGAACTGTGCTGTCTGCCAAGCCCTGAGAGGAGACTGTAGGGGATCACGCAGTGTAAAAGTCCAGATGGTATCTGTGGGAGGTCTGAGTCACTGTGGTGTAGGCTGTGTTTGACACAGCCACCCTAAGGCATCCCAAATGGGTATAAATGTGGAGGTGTGGAAGATGATTGGGAGGTTCCTAGGATTACCATGGTTTCCTGCAAACCCCACATGTGGGGTAATTGTAAGGTTCTAGGAGGAACTTTTTCTCCTTCTTGCAGAAGCTCAGATGATGATGGGGAGGAAGAATCAGCTGCTCAAGGGAGTAGACAAACACACGATAATCTTTACAGAGTGCACATGCCCAGCCTCTATAGCTGTGGGAGTAGTTATGGCAGTGAGACCAGCATTCCAGCAGCAGCACACACAGTCAGCAATGCTCCCGTCACAGAGTACATGTGAGTATCCCAACAAGAAGGCTGTATTGTGGCTTGTCCAGATTGCTTCGCTCTATTTCTGTTGTCACCAAGTGCTGTGGGGCTGGCACTTTTGACCAAGCAGTTGGAGTGATAAGGGATTTTATCGAAAGTGTAAAAAAACCATGTTTTCTGATTGGCATCTAGTGGGAGAATGGAATAGGTTAAATATGCTGCAGTAGAAAAAGTTGTATGAGACAGCATGATCCAAAAATGAACAGCTTTGTCCTGGAGGATTTAGAAATCTGCCTAGAGAAAAGAAGTTAGAAAGTGTTGTCCAGGCTCCTTATTACACAATGATTCTGATCCCCAGAAGACTTGATTCTTCAGAAGGAGCAGTTTTGACAGAAGATTTTAAGTCTCCTGAGAGCCAAGACAAAACCTGCAGGCTCTGTCCTTCCACAGTATTTGCAGTCAGCTCTGACATCTGTTGCAGACTGGAACTACCTAGTCCAGGTGGGATCTTTAGAGCCTTCTCCAGAAGTGCCTAGCTCTGATCACACTTGGATTACCTTTAGGGCCCATCTTTTTGGGGCTGGCACATCAATTTGTTCTTCCCGTTAGACTTTGCCCTCATTTTATCTCCATTTCTGCAGCTTGGCAGTTCTAACACTGCAGGGAGGGCAGATTTTCACACGGACCTATTTTTAAATCACTTGACATGATTCAGTGTGGGCCCTTCTGAGTAAGAGTGTAAAGATTGTGCTTTATCTAAGGAAAATAATGGTAGTTTTGTGCCCTTGTCTGAAAAAGGGGGATCCACCTGGCCTGTAAGAAAAGCTTTGAGGGAGACTGACCTGATACAGTAGTTCCGGTGGTGCACATACACTGCCCCATCTCGCTGTCAGAGAGCGTCCCCAGAGAAGCATGACACGTACGCCCTGTTACCATATGTGTCTTCCTTTCCTAGGAGCCAGAATGCAAATTTCCAGAACCCCCGTTGTGAGAATACCCCGCTCATTGGCCGGGAGTCCCCACCTCCCTCAGTAAGTCTCTCTTTACTGCTCCTTTCTGCTTCAGCAACTTTGGGGAATACACGTTTACCACTCCTGTATACTCTCAAGGGAGCTGACTCTGTGGCCAAACACAGGATCTGGCCCATAAATGGCAGCGATTTGAATAGACAAGCCATGTCTCACCTGCCATGGGGAATAAAACCTTGCTATGCTGCTTTGGACATTGCACATAAAAAGAATAAAACTCAATCTACTAACACTGGTGATCCTGTGGGCCCAGTCCCGCCACCACTGAAGTGCATGAGTATCTTGGT